ACAATATGTTAATTTTTCGAGAGATTAAAAAGGTTACAATTTAGACAAAAAACAAGAAAGGTTAAAAATATGATTACACTTCTGCAGGTCTTCATTCAGTCTCTCAGCAAGGTCATTCAGGGTCATATTCTTCAGGATTTCAAGTGTGACTTCAATAGCACCAACTTCCATGTAGTAACTTATCATCATGTCGGCGAGGTCTGTTCTATCCAAGTGCTTTACCTGACCCCTGGGAAGGGGCTTTAACTCTTTATACTTCGTGCGATTCAGTTTCCATTTAAACTTCTTCAGCTCATCATCATCGAGCTCCTTCAGATAATCCAGCAAGAGGTCGGCGAGTGAGTTCTGAGTCTGCAGAATGTGGGAGATGAGTCCATGAGACTCACACACATGCACTGAACTTTCCGTTAACAGAAGGCAGTTTTCCTGCTCACAGTCTTATGTGGCTGCTGAAGACACCTGCTGTGATTTTTCATTACTATAGGAGACACACGTCTGTTTATTTCTGCCTTATTTAACCAGGTTAGTCTCACTGATTTTAAAAATCTCTTTTATAAGAGAGACCTGTCCAATATAAAGAGTTTAAATTTAAGATCCAATAGAGCACATTAAAACAATAGGGTCAAAATCAAAACAGATTACAAACATCATGTTTAGGCAGCATCTAATATCATTATACATATTTTAGATTAAGTTATTCTGTTCCAGCCCGTCTGTAACATTTGGTGTAGGGCGGTACGGAAGTAATATAATTATACATATTTTAGATTAAGTTATTTTGTTCCTGCCCGTCTGTACCATTTGGTGTAAAGCGGTACGGAAGTAATATAATTATACATATTTTATATTAAGTTATTCTGTTGCAGCCCGTCTGTAACATTTGGTGTAAGGCGGTAAGGAAGTAATATAATTATACATATTTTAGATTAAGTTATTCTGTTGCAGCCCGTCTGTAACATTTGGTGTAAGGCGGTACGGAAGTAATATAATTATAAATATTTTAGATTAAGTTATTCTGTTCCAGCCCGTCTGTACCATTTGGTGTAAGGCGGTACGATACGGAAGTAGTCTGGGGAAGAGCACTGCAGAGAGGGAGCTTTTTATCTGCTATGTTCAGCAACTTTCAGCTGAAAATCGTTACTCAGCTTAAGCTTCCCTGCCTTTCAGTGTCTGGTATTTATAGACAAAATGCATCAGATGCCAAAATACTGTAGCCAAACCTCTTGGTGAGCCATTGCTTAGACAATTATGGCTGTAAGGAAACCAGGTCTTGCGTATCAGTCTGACTCTGTAATAAAAACCAAAAGTAATGTTAGCTTTATATTCAAACGTCAGTTTAGCAGCTGTAATATCTTACAACCAAAGCAAACTGGTCAGTTTTTACTCACACAGGCAGTTTGCAGTTGCAGGCAGAGACGTCCACTGATCATTTGTCATAACTATGGGCCATATTTCACCCTGTGTTTAAGTCAAAAAAGGATACAGCCATTACACTGCATGTTCCTTCAGTATTCAATGGGCACTTTGGAAATTAAACTACAGTATACACTTTTCTATCAATGTATTCAGTGCTTGAAGTGGGTCAGTACTCACAGGTATGCAGTACCAGCACCTCTTTGTTTTTCTCTTCAGAGTACCGGCACCTCACAATATCTGCTGAGAGCACTGGCACCTGAGGCTGAATAACAAGGGGAGCACTGGCACATGTCAATGAATAACAAGGGGAGCACTGGCACCTAATCAAGGTTTTGCAATAGCCCAGTCAAAGTCCAGACCTCAACCCGACTCAACCCTCCATAATGATATGAGTGACTGATAAAGTCACACAGGAAATGATTACTTAGAGTT